TGAGATGTACTGGCAGGGAATGAAATCTAGGTATCTCACATGTAAGGCAAGAATTCTACCACTGAACCAACACCGCCCCTCATATCTCACAATTAAAAGGTTCATAATACAGACACTAAGGTAATGTGAGATAAATATATTAAAACTAAGAAAGCTAATCTCAGGCTACTTCTGAGGTCATTGTCATCAGATATAGCAAAGACTCTAACTGAATCTACCTAAACAAATGTAAAATTATTTGTAAAATACTGACATTCATATAAAAATGGAAAAAAACTTACACCTGATAGCCCCACGCATTCAGTATATTATTGATGGTAGAATATATATGTAGGAAAGAACTGAGCAACAAAGAGAATCAAGAAAGCCAGCACTTATATAAAATCTTCATTGAAGTTTTTCAAAATTAATTATATCTATTACTGATTAATTATATAGAATCTTCTGTCAATTAGTTAAAAGTACATACGAAATATTGAGCTCAAGTAAAGCCACAAGCAAATAAAAATGTTTATAATGATAAATGTCTACTTTCAGTGTTAAAACTAGGATGGTCCCTGGCAAAACAGAGTGGCTGGTCACCCTATCATAGTGCCCTGCGTAGTAAACAATAAACATAGAATTAATAAGAAATATTCTAAACTACAGAGCCCTGGTGGTACAGAGGTTAAGTGCTTTGGCTGCTAACCAAAAGGTTAGCAGTTTGAATCCACCAGCCACTCCTTAGAAACCCTATGGGGCAGTTCTACCGTGTACTATAGGGTTGCTATGAGTCCGAACCAACTCGACAGCAACAGGTTTGGGGTTTGGGTTTTTGTTTGTTTGGGTTTTGTTTTTTTTTTTTTGTTTTTTTTTTTTTTTGGTTTTTTTATTCTAAACTACAGCTTTGGTCAGTCATTCAACAAATACTGAGTGCCTTTTAATGTGTCTGAGATAGGCAGTGAGAGTACAGTAATGAATAAGATAAAATTGTGGCCTCAAATACTGGGAAGCCAGACAAATAAACAAATAATTACACTATAAACAGGGCTGCCAATAATTAAGATATAAAATACAGGAAAAGAGGGTTCTGGGGGATTAGGGTTGCTGGAGTATAAGATAAACAGCAGAAGATAAATCAAACTGACATGAAGCAATAAAAGTCAGTCCATTCTGAGAAAGTAGCTAGGCAGCATGTGATGAAAGAACAAGTTCTATAGCCACAACTACTGCCACAAAACAAAGAAAAGAGCATTCTTCACATACAAGCAGTAACTAGATCTTTGCAGCATGTTCTCATATTCAGGGACACTGACATGTAGAGTAACCACATGCATATTATTTATTAAACTTAAATATAGACTGCATTCCCTTACCTGGCTTCCCTATTTTCAGACTGGCTAATAAGAGAAAATCATCACTGTTAGCATAAGCATACAAGCATGAGTACAAGAGCATGGACAGCTCATACCTCTGTGGCAGAACAAAGCAAACCCTTCCCCCATAGAAGAAGAAATATGCTGTGTCACCTAGATAACTAATATAGATAGTTAATATACAGTTAATGTAGAGGTGTCTCTTATTATGTCAATCAAGCTCAAAAAGCAACAAAATACTCCTTAGCACAGTAATGCCAGGAGCAGTCACATTATTAAAAGGAATATGTTTTCATATTAGACTAGGCTGATTGTCCCCAGGGAAAATTGACTTCGATGAGACACAATACACAAACTTCTCAGTTTAAAAAAAAAATAAATCAAGTGCAGTTCTCACTAATCTGGAATTTGAGTATTCACTATCTCTCCCATTTATGAAAGCAGAGCCCACTCCTGTCCCTTTCAGGCTGCAAATCCTGAGAGCCTCTGAGGAAACACAATGGAGCTTTCAAATTACTAGAGGGGTCTCAGATCCAGAATTCTTCCTCCTTCTGACGTAGAAAGAATTTCCCGAGAAAAACTTCGCGACAAGAGACTAGAGGATTGACCAAGCAGGCTACAGTAAAAGGAGAGTGGGAATTTGAAGGGAGAAAAATTGAGAATAAAGAGTATCCATAGCCTGCTTTTGAAGATCTAAGGTTCTGAGGTCCTCTCCTCTTCCGTAGTTCCAAGTAACAAGTAAGTTACATAAAGTCCCAAATTCTGCTCTTCTCACATCATACTCGGTTAAATCTACTGACCTTTAAGTAAAGTTACTGTGCATATGTCTTCATAGTCCATGTGTTATTGATCTTAAAGATAGGTGAGGCAGAATGTACCTAAGAAAGAGATGGTAGCTACTCTTAAATTATCTTGCCAGGAAATCCAGCAGAGAAATAACTAAAGAGATACTTGAACCCCTTCTATCAATTATCAACATGTCATCCCTGAATACTGCTAAACACAGCAATCAACAGGCTGCAGGTGTTCATCCCAAGCATGCAATTTTCTAGTTTCCCTCATAAATCAACAAGGCACAATCCTAGAAAACAGTAAAAGAGGGGCCTTGCCACACCATAGTTACTGCCCTCTAAGCAGAGTTTACAGAAGTCATAAGTATTTTTAACTATGCTATGAGCAGCAAATTAATTTTTTTAGCTTTATTTCAAGAATTAGTTTGTTATTTTTTACAAATTGAGCACTACATGTTATGGCATTGGGCTACAAACTGAGAATAGTGGAGTTAAAGATAATGGTCTTTGGCCTCAAGTAGCTCACATTTTATTGGGGCAGCCACATAAGTTAATTGCAATATAGTTTCAAAGTGCTATGACAGGGTCATTAAAAAATCTGAGTAGAAAAACCCAAGAAAAAGTAGTCAGAGAACTTCACTCTAGTTGAGTCTCAAAGAGTAAGTAGAAATTAGTCAGAAAGGAAGACAGAGCATACTAGGCAAAGGTATCAGAAGTACAAAGGAAGAGAGGTGAAAGAGCATGAGTTTATGGAATCTGCAAAGTTGGAATTGCTGAAACGTAAGGTAAGTGTTGGTGGAGGTATGGGTGCCTGAAAAGGGCCAATAAAGTGGGAAACCAGGTCAGGGATCAGATTATGAAGAACTTTATGCACCATGTTAAGAAGTTCAGGTTTTAACCTTAGAGTTAAAAAGGTTTTTTTTTTTTTTTTTTTAACAAATAACATGATTATGTTTATATTTTAAAAGGATCATTCCAGCCACAAGATAGAAAATGGGCTGGAGACTAACACAGAGAAACCAGTTAATATTTTATTGGTTCAATTTAGAACAGAAATAATAGAGGCTTTAACTAAGTCAAAGGGCAGTGAAATGGAGAAAGGGGGCCAACTGCGAAGATAAAATCAATAAATCTTAATGATCAATGGGAGTGGCAGGTGGGCAGGCAGAGAATTCTAGAATAATTTCAAAGCTTGAAGTTTATGATCAACTGAGACAGGGAATTTCAGAAAAGGAGCTAGTTTTGCTCGGTAAGATAATGAGTTCAAAGCACAGAGGCGGAGATGTACATAACAGTAATTGGCAATGCTGAATGCCTTAAGATCAGGAGAAAGCTTATCCTAGAGACACAAAACATCTACAGCTCTAAAGAGTGTCTTTTAGGAGTCATCAGAATTAGAATATGGGTAGTAGCTGAAGCTATAGATTTGAATGAGAAGATACATGTGAAAAGAACAATAAGCAAAGGATGGGAAGTAAAAGGTGACAGAGGCCTTTAGAGAAGACTGTGAAGGTTGAAGAGGGAAAATATTATTCCATTATTCAGCAGTTAACAAATGTTGATTAGTTCCAACCATGTGTCAGGCACTGTTCCAAGCCAATAGCTGGAAAAAAAATCAGGAGAAAATGATGATGTTATAGATACCATGAGAAGAACTGTTTCTGATACTGGTCACTTATGTCCAAATAAACTAAGGATTGAAAAGTATCATAGGTATAGGCATTTTGGGTGGCTGTTGGTGGCCAGTAGATTGTTTGGGAGTTAATGCTGATAACATCTTTGTTGTCAACTGCATTAAAATAAAGACAGACATAATGAGCTCTAAGAATACTGGCATCAGATGCTGAAAAGCAGTAAAATTCAAGATTGAAACACTGACAGATGACAAATTTATATTCTGCACAAAGAAACGAAATCCATCCCTAATGTGATCATGTGGCCATAACAATTTTAAAAAATATATAGTGTAGGTATACGGAAAATGCAAGTTAACAAGGAAAAAACTGTAATTTGGATTATATTAAGCTTCAGAAAATCATCAAAACATAAAAAGTAGAATGCAAAATGCAAATATTTATGAAATGTTTCACCTAAATCACTAACTACAAACAAAAGAAATATCTATTCCCACTCCACCCCTCAAGAGTATAGCTTTTTGTAATAGAATATGGGAAAAAAGGAGTTCTCACTTAGTTCAAAAATGCGGGTATGATCAGATAGGAAGCACCTGGGTGAAAAAAATAGATGGCATTTTCTTTAAATTAAATTGCAAAATATAAATACAAAAGTTGTTGTTAAGTATCATCAGGTGGATTTTTCGACTCATAGCGACCCCATGTGACATTGTAGAACTGTCCTGTAATCTTTAGGGAAGCAGATCGCCGTATCTTTCTCCTGTGGATCTGCTGGATGGGTTCAAAGTTTACATCTTAACCTCTCAGATGAATAGTAAAAAAGGTATGTGAGGCAGAGAGGTTTACAAAGAAGACACAGCAGGAGGGTTAAAAAAAAAAAAAAAAAGTACACAGGATTTGGAAACCTACATTTTCAGCAAAGCCAGGAATTTAAAATCCTAGATCTAGTCTGTACAATTTAAAATGTGATACGGAAAACCACTGCAGAATTCTTTGCCGTATACTTACCAGCCTTGGCAAATGGGACGTTATTTTACCAGTTCTCATCTGTAAAATAAGGATAGTATTTTCCCGGCCTACTTCATGTTTTGCTATACCTATTAAGTGCTATTATAAACGGAAGTTCGCTTTATTGTTTAACTTACGGGCACACAAAAGCGGAGCAGGCTGAAGGCGAAGTGCCTGTCAGAGGGGAAGGCTGGTCTTTCCCTCCATCTTACCTGTTGCCTGCTGCTTCAGGAAAGGTACCTGGTAGGATCCAGGACCCACACGGTCCTCAGTGCTGCCACCCTCAGTCAATCTGAGCAAGCGAGGGGCCCGATCATACATAATGGTCTGGAGGGGTGGGGCAGGGGCTGAAAAGAGATTAAAAACAGGGTGGCTAGCAGCGTGGAGCAAAAGAAAGCCAATACCAGTCTGAGCGGGCCCGGGGCAGAACTTCCGTAAATGGAGGAGCTATGCCGTAGGGGCTACCTCCCCACACACTTATTAATGTCAGATGTCCCCCAAGTTGGTTTCTAGCCTGGTGGTAAAGTGGAGGGCAGCACAGCCAGATTAAGGTCTCTCACATAACGGCCCGTTAAACTGTGGTGGGCGGAAAAGCTTGTCTGAACTAGATTAGAAAATAGGCGCCCGCCCCCAGGCTTCCGGCCCTGGCTCCGCCCATTTCTCTCCGCCCCGGAAGCATGGGGGAATGAGGCCGCCCAGACTCTGGGGAAGAGGGTTGGGCTGTTCCTTGCCCAAGGTCTTGGAGCGTGCGCCTGGGTGCGTGAGGGGCTCCCCAACTTCCTCCACCCGGTTTCCCCAGCGTCCAGAAGGAGAGGGCGGGGCGGGGCGGGGCTTTGGAGTACCCTCTTACCACTATGCTTTAGGCCCTGGGGTGTTTTCACTGTGCAGAAAAACCATAGAAGACGCGTTAAAAGGAGTTAGAGCCAACTTGCCCTTGATCTCCCACCCGTTGCCATGGAGTCGATTCCGACTCATAATGACCTTGATCCATCTCCTCTATAAATCAGGGTGGCTGGAAAGAGACTCAGCAAAAACTGTGAAAGAATAGTAGTAATGCGAAGAACAGCCTGGTTTCCGCAAGCTCGCTCTCCACTCCTACAGCTACACCTCTCCCACCTCCAGAGGAAAAGCACTTCTGAGTTCATTTTGTAAATTCGGGGGCGGGGGGGTGTGAGGGGTGGCGGTAGAAGATGATGAAAAGCTCACCAGCTGGCCGAAGCAATGCAAATGCAGATAACTGAAAGCTGCTTTTGTTCTCCGGTACCAGGCGGGTAACCAATGGTAATATTTATTCATCAGTGTTTATAAAACAAAGCAAAGGCATCGAGAAAACCCAGTCAATCCCACTAAATCAGTGAGTCTCAACCTTAGGCAAAAGGAACCTGGCTTCTGCACTGGTCTTTAAGAAGTCTACGTCAGACTCCACCTCAAAGTTGGCTCCAGGCAATTTTTTCCAGCAAGAATCCTATCCAGATTCTAAGGCATGCCTAGAGGCTTAGACAAATTCTACCTTGAGTAGGCTTTGCCACCCAATGAGCTACAGGATTTTAATTTGTGCCTCCTCCAAATTTTTATAGTGTTTACACTGTCTCCATTCCCTGCACCTTTTACTGTGGTATAATTATGCCATATATGGAAACATAATCTCCATACAAGCTACATGCTTCGCAATGATGTATCTGTAATACATTTTTTTTTTTACTCAATAGCCTAGCCAAATTACTTATTCACTCAAAAAACACTTAATGATGTATGTATACTAAAGGTCCAGCACCCTGCTAAGTTCCAGGGATACAAAAATATATGAAAGTCTTTACCCTCAAGCATTCTCTATCTAATGAAGAAAGAGACTTTATATATGGATTATGCTTCCAGAAAAACAAGTGATGAGAGAGACGTACAAAATGTTTTTGGAAGCCTCTTCTTTCCATTAAGAATCTATATACTGATCATAATCCTTTCTCATATACCTCAATTCTTTCATTCTTGTAGAAACCCTCATAGTTATTTCAACGTTATTTAAACCTTATCTTCCCAAGCTGCCACAGATACCCATTGAGAAGATCTAGAATACGCTTATTATATTTTATGATAAATTAGGAAGAAACAAGTCACAGGTAAACAGAGAGAAATACATATGCTTTAGAAGATAATCTAGTGGTACTTGTAATTTAGCCTCCTGTTGGACATTCCTTAAGGACATTTGCCCTTAATGATCTAAACTAGAATATGAAGCCTGAGAGCACATGCAGATCTAGGCCATCTTTGCTGCAGGCCCTGGTGCAGACTATCACACCCTCCCTCTGGCTCTTCACCTCTGCAGCAACCTAGATTAGCCTTTCTTGAATAGATTTGAGTTTCAGATTAGGAATGGAAATGACAAGCAGACTATATCTGCTTTCTGTGTGATTTGATTTTTGGCCACTGAACCTAACCTTGACATAAGGAGTTCTTTATAGGGACTATCGTAGCTCATTTATAATTTTAGAGCCCTGGTGGTGCTGTGGGTAACAGCTTGGCTGCTGACAGAAGGCCAGCAATTCAAATCCACCACCCAATCCTTGGAAACCCTATGGGGCAGTTCGATGGCAACCGGTTTGGGTTTTTTGTTTTTTTTTTTTTTTTCTTTCTTTAAAGTGGATTTTGTCACTGAAGTACGAGCTAGGATTGAAGTTTCTTTGCCTTGCTTGCTTCCTGAGTGCATGTACTTTCTTTCCTCAGGAACCTCACAGAGAATAGTAGCTGATCAATGGCAGAACTCCAGTGTTTCTGTGTATTGTGGCTAGATCCTATCTAAATGTCACACCACAAAGGTACAACCTATACACTCTTCATAATTTTGTAATATTTGGTCTGTCAGAGTTTTTCATTCTTAAAAAAAAGACTTTTTTAAAAAAGTCTTTAGTATGACAATCCTTCCTCTATTTCCTTGATCACTGTAGCTGTTCTCTGCATCTTTCCCAGCTATTATTTCCTTCTTATGGTTCAGTAACAAGAATGGTACATCGTATTTTTGGATTGAAAACATTTTTAAATGAGAAAAGTAAATCTTTTTTATTATCTCTCATTGTGGTAAACACTTCTTGAATAGTCTGAAATGACTGCACTGCTAAAAAAAAAAACTCTATAAACAAAGAATTATAATTACATATAAGTACAAAATAATTTGGTTCAGCATTTCTCAATTCCTCCAAAACTGTTTTAATGCTAATTAACCACACTATATAACCATTTCCACACTATTAGTAAGAGAAGCAGTGCTTAAACTAAGATTTATTTGACTCTAAAATTTGTGTTCCTTTCATTTCTCCATACTGCCTCCCATCAGAATGAACTTTAAAATGAGGCTTGAAGAAGAGCAAGAATCAAGAAATAAAATCGACTCTTTATTGCATATTAGCTGCAGTGAAGAACTCAATACTTACCAATTTTTCTTTATAACACTTTGAGGATTATGTAGATAATGAGATGATATCTGGAGTCTCTAATGAGGGGTGGAAATTCTGCTCTGAAATACGTCATTACATGTTTTATAAGTATTATAAACCTGAATTGGTTTTTCTACCCATTATGACTTACTGGTTTTCCATTCTTATGCTTTTCTTAAAAAAAGTAATGAAGCAGGGCCAAGATGGTGGAGTAGTCAGACGCTTCTGTTGGACCCTCTTATAACAAACACCCAAAAAAAAACAAGTGATTTGATTATATATGGCAATCTGGGAGCCCTGAACATCAAAGACAGAGGTGAGGAACCGGACTGAGTGGCAGGGGGAGGGAGAGACGGTTCAGAAGCAGTGAGGAGTTGCCAGACCTGACCCGGCGACAGCCTAAGCCCTTCAGGCCTGAGCAGCTCATGCGTGAGCAGTGAGGCAGGCAAGCACACATGCTCCGGAGGTGCGTTTTCCACACTGGGAGAGACCCAGCACCAGAGAGTCTACACGGCCACCCAGAACTAGTGAGAGCAGCCCTCAATCCACTGAAAGAGAAGTAATTGCATACGGCCTACCGCGTGGATGAAAAACAACCCCCTTATGGAAAAACTTCTCTCCCATTTACCTCCTCGCCCCCTGCTCTGCACTGGGTCCCGGATCGTCTTCAGCAATTGCCAAGTCCCCTGGGCTGGAAGTAGGATCCCTCACACTCCTGGAGTCATTATCCTTGGCTTGGAGAGTGAACAAATTAACAAACGGGAAAAAATAAACTGCCAGCTCCCCTAAGCCAGGAACCCAGGGTAGGCAAACCTCCTTTGCCTAGGCACAGGCGTAAGGGATCCATAGACTCTGAGTGCCTTTCCCTCTGCATAGACTTGTGTGGACCCATTTCAACAGAGTAGGCCCTCATTACCGCAGTACAATAGGGTATATACCAGAAGTCTAACTTCATCTGTTTCAACTGTGAAGTGGCAGGTTCTTGACATTTGACACTGCTCTGCCCATTAAGCAGGGTCTTCACCTACCCACTTCAGGGGCCTGAGGACCGGAGGCTCCACCCACGCCACCTAGCCACCTGCAATAGGGGCCCAAGAGTAAGAGGTTCCACCCAGTCCTTTCAGGCAACAGCATTAGGTGCCCATAGTCTGGCTGCAAAACCCACCCACCTACACGCTCTAGGGAACAGGGAGATGCCTTCCTCCTGGACACTCAGAGACAGCCATCAGCCCCTGCCTTGCTCAGAGTGTGTCCCCCCGCTGCAGCCAGATGTCGGTACCTATGCCAATCTACCATGCCTGTCTAGGACTGTGAGAGCCTACACCACCCACTTGGTGGCTATCTACCCGGGCACCTGAGCTGAATCCATACAGGAGGAGTGGGCAGACTCCTGAGCTCACATACCTAGTAACAGATCTAACCAGCTGGTGACAGGACATTACAGCCTCAAAGGTGCCAATAATCAAACTAGCTCATACGAACAGCCTATTTGGGCATATCAAAACAAATCAAGAAGCTAGGACACAGTAAGCAAACATAAAATAAATAAATATAATAACTTATTGATGGCTCGGAGACAATGGTCAATATCAAATCACATAAAGAGGCAATCCATGATGGCTTCAGCAAGCTCCCAAAATAAAGAATCTAAAAATTTTCCAGAGGAGGAAAATTTCTTGGAATTACCAGAGGCAGAATACTAATATACAGAACTCTTCAAGAAATTAGGAAGGAAATTAAGCAAAACGCAGACCACACAATAGAGAAAATTAAAAAGATTAGAGAAGAGCATAATGACAAATTTAACAGGCTACAAGAATCCATTGAGAGACAGCAATCAGAAATCCAGAAGATTAACAATAAAATTTCATAATTAGACAACTCAATAGAAAG